ATTTTTGTTATTTTTTGGTATTACATTACAAGTAATACCCAGGTGGAGTGTACAGGGTATTACGGAAGTGAATACCCCCTCGTTTGGGTACGCCCGGGTGGAAAGAAGTACAGATAACCTGCATTCGAAACTGTACTTGCCTAGCTGTAGTTGCTAAACTATAGTTATGATTGTATTTTAACTTCAATTCTGTTTATAATCAAGACTACATGCTCAAATAACAGTACGAAATACACATAACACACACTTTTACTGCTCTCGCAACTACACTTGAGAATGCAGACCGTAATGTAAGTGGTATATTGAGTTGTTGCTGTAGTTTAAGAGCAGCCCAGGCTAAAAAAACAAGCAGGCCCGCCCTTCCGCCAAACGCAGTTGCCAGCTCCACTTCGCTGCGCCGGCAACTCCGTTCGGCAGGGGCCGGGCCTGCTTGGCCTGCCGGCGGCGATGGTCGGGCCTTCGGCCCGACCATTTCAGTCCCACGATTTACTGAAGTGCATAATCGAAAAAATAATGTGACCGGTAAATCACTCATATATAGTATATATTTGAATAAACTAAAGCGTCCGGCGGGGGGCCTGCGGCCCTATAAATTTTGCTCCTTGGACATGACAAAAGACTGTAACGGGGCAACACCGTGACTACACCCCACCCTTCTGCTTTGCTTAAGAATTAAAAAAAAAAACGAACCCGCGCAGTTTTTTGGTTGTATATTGTTTGTCAAACAGTCCTAAAACTTGACTTTTTGCCATTGTTTTCAATATAACCACCTCTAGGACCAAAACAGTGAAAGATACGGCAAATCCGAGGCTAGTTCCTGATTCAGAATGTGTTGTTTTGGGGGGGTACTTCCTCTGAAATTTTACGATTGGACGCCTCCTTGTACGTCTTTATGTGCAACGTGGTCATTGTCGCCGTATTTTCGCCGAAAAAAGCACTCTAGCGCCCAAACGGTGCAAGATAGAGTCAAACGGACAAAATTTTCGCCCATAGGGCTCTACTTTCACGAGTTACCCCTTAGGAGACCATAAAAAAAATATTTTTTTCCTACTTTTTGGACCAACCCCTATTTCTTTGTTACCCCCTTTCACCCCCTTAGGGGTGGTTGACAGGATTTGCACCAGGCGTTTCGTTGTCCAGGAGTGACCCCTAAGATACCCTGAAATTTATAGACCTCTAGCTCATCTCCTTCCTCTTACACGGACGACGGACAGACGGACGGACGGACGGACGGACGGACGGACGGACACGAGAGCGGTTGCATAAGCCCGCTTTAATGCTTTTTTAAAAGCAGAAGGGCGGGCTAAAAAACAAAAACCATGGGGACGACCATGGTAAAATTTTCGCCATGGTGCTCCATGGTTATCCATGGTGAGCACTTCAGATTTATGATGGTATTATGGTCATGGTGAAACCATGGGGACCAATCCACATACAAACCATGGTTAAAGATTGCGGAGATTATGGTTGACATGGTGGTACCATGGTGCACTACGTGCCTCTGGTGCATCGAGATAACCATGGTCTTTTGTAATAACCATGGTCTTGTAATAACCATGGTCTTTTGTAATAACTATGGTCTTGTAATAACCATGGTCTTGAAATAACCATGGTTTGTTTGCATGGCATGATTACCATGGTATAATTACCTATGGGATTACCTACCATCCCAAGGAACAGAGATTCGTCACGGTGACGTCAAAATGACGTCAAAATTACATCAAAAGGTCCTAGGTCATTGTGACGTCACGAAAATTGGAAAAATGACGTCATAATGACGTCACGTGACGCCGATATGACGTTTGCACAAAATTTGCACCCGCACGTCCAAATGACGTCCAAATGACGTCAAAATAACTATAAATGTACAATATATCCATATTTTGATAAAATAGGCGGTGCCTACCGAGGAGAGGGTAAAAAGTTGAAAAAAAGTGTTGTTTGAAGAAAACTTCTTGAAATTTCTTTATTTTTGACAGCACAATCAACGTTGCAACATTTGCAAAACAACAAAAAAACTAACATTTGTGCAGTAATGTGACCGTCCTTGACAAACACATACAGTCAAACCCCGTTATAGCGTTGCACCTCGGGGAAGCAAAATCGCGACGTTATAAGCGGGAAAACGGTATAAACGAGTTGGTTTGAATGGAAAATTGGATTTTGGTTCTAGAAAATCGCGACGTAATAGTGTATTTCGACTAACGAAGGAAGAAGATTAGCGGGTAGAACATAATGGTTCCCGATTGGCCGCTATTCTTCTTCCCCCGTTAGTCGAAATACACAATGAGCGGATAAACGCTATATCCGGAAACGCTATAACAGGGTTTGACTGTAGTCTTTCAAAAAATAACTTAAATGCACTTTGGCCAAATTATTTGGACACGTAAACCAACAACGCCAACAACTTTTAAGTTGGCAGCAAAACAAAAAACAAAAAAAAAACAAAAAAAACAACACACAAAACAGTTATTGTACAGCTAATAGTTAGGCTTTTAGACGTTCTAATCAAAATTGCGCTGGCCACTGATGCACAGCCACCTCTTAAGGGTGCTTTCAAATTCTAGCAAATTTGTGTCTTTGTCAAACAGTTGACAGACAACACCTGAAACAAAGGTTAAATAAGAGGATTTGGAAGTGGATAACATTACAACAAGTACACAAACTGAAGAAATCTGCTTGAACTTACATTGCAACAATTCTAGGATATTGGTGGTATCCAGGGCCAGCTTTGTCCCCTTCGTTCCTTTCCATGACACAATTTTTCAAAGATCTCTTGAGAATACTTTATTCATCAAGAGGGTTGCACACTCTTTCTCATTTGTCGTATTTTTGGCCTTCATGTGCAAGTGGTGTTGCTGGAACGAACAGTATAAAGTTATTGTAACTTCCTGGAACTGTGAAGGACAAATATTTACATTGACTGACCAACCATATGAGCAAAATTGCTGCGATCATCCAGCCAGTCATTTAGATTTTTAAATGCTTCTTCATCAGCCAGTGGAGTGTCTGGCCTTTGCACCACAATTGCATTAGCTTCTTCCGGAAATAATTTTAAGACAACTCTATTCATTAACCTGGTTAAATTGTCCACTTTTGTATTTAGATTTTGAAGCAGAACAGTATCTGATTCTGCTACAACATCTGCAATACTTTCTTGTAAAGATTTGGAACCACCTTTAAAGTTAGAGCAAATAGAAATAAGCAACACAATATTTGAAAGATTAAGGTTATTGCAACAATAGAACACCAAATAAACAACCAGGCATACATTGTGCTGTTGTCTTCTGTGTATGTATGTTATTATTATTCAACTCAGCACTTAGAGACTTCGGATTATTATTCAACTCAGCACTAAGAGACTTCGGATTAGGCAGAGACAACATATCAATAGTAATTTTTGTTGGCTTTCCAGGTTGATGTGATGTAGCTGCTATAAAAAAACATGTTGACACAGGATTATAAAATATATACAGCTCAAAAAAAAAAAAAAAAAAAACATAAACAAAATAATATGTTACGCCAACCTTGCGATAACTGTGACAAAAAAGAGTCAGAAAGCAGTGCAGTAGGGTGAGCTGGAGACTCTTCATCCTGGGCTACTTCTGGTGATTTATCATATGTTAGGTTTATGGGTGTCACACTATCTGACATCTCAGCTTCATCCCATGAATCCAATGTATCTTGATTAGTTGCTACTGCAGCTACAGTTACAAGAGAAAATAAATAATTATGACCTTGACATAGATCCAAATTAATGAAGTGAATATTATACCAGAAATTTGCACTCACTCCGCTGGGTAGAGCAACATGGTTGTTCACTTAAATCTGAAGGCATTTTCTCAGTAGACATTTCCTTATTACTCCAGTGATGATCAAAAAGTTTCGTGTCTGTCTGTCTGTAAACACGATAACTCGAGAACGGGTTGAGCTAGGTACCTGAAATTTTTAGCGTAGCTTTCTAGCATAAAAAGCAAGAACTGTATTGATTTTGAGCCCTCTAGCTTGAAAATTGACCTGTCAAAAAAATCAAAAACGAAAACCCAAAAATTTTACTTTTAATTTTTTACTTTTTTTACATCGTTCTAAGACGTAACTCGTCAAAGTAGAGCCCGTAGGGCCAAAATTTTGTCCGTTTGCCTCTATCTCTAACCGTTTAGTCGCCAGAGGGCGATATACACACGAAAATGACCCAAAACCAATTTAATGTTGTTTCTCAGATATTTGACAGTCTCTGGTGGGGCAACTGTTCAAAATAAAATCCTGGGGGTAAAATTTGTGTCTTTTGTAGCCAAAGGCTTATCTACGACTCTGCCTTTTGTCCGACTCGGGTGTCAGCGCCGCAGGCCTAGGTAGATGTATGCCAGGCGCGTCGCAGCGTAACAGTGTTTCGTGAGATATCGCGAAGGTATGCCAGGCGCGTCGCAGCGTAACAGTGTTTCGTGAGATATCGCGAAGCCTGTTACGCGAGACGTGGTCTGGCGTACATCTACCTAGTTATCAGTATCTGATTGTGAAGTCTCGTACTTGGGATTTTTTCTTCGCTGACGAAGTTTGGTATAGTCTGTGTCAACACCAGACTCTAGACTGCCTCCTTTACACAACTTCTTGTGAGCCTTGTCAGCAAGATGATAAGTTCCTGTAAATATGAAATAGCATGAAAGAAATACTGGGTATTTAAAGTTGAACTAGAACAATTCTAGAAAATTCATGCTGTATAAATAACATATGTTTAAATAGTTACCGAATGAACCGTGATTTGTTTGTAGAGCAATATTCTGCCAATCTGGTTTTGGCGTAGCCAAGGTCATTATCAGCCTGAGGTTGCTTGGTGAATTATTGCCTGGAGAGTACTTTGTCTCATCTTTTGAAATCCATTTGGTGGCCACAACAAAAACTCCTCCGTCTTTGTCCTCCACCACTGAGAACTGAAAAAAAAAAACACAAGAACACATTACCAATAGAACATGAGTCCTCAGAATACCAAGAGTAATTAATGAGATGACACTAACCAACTAATCATCACCATCTAATGACCTAAACTACCAGAATATGACTACACATGAAGGAGGGGTATGCAAAGAAACGAGTCTCGCAGAGGTATTGAGACTAGTTTTTTAGAAATCTCTGTGATTGACCATCTCCTAGGCCGATCTTCCATCCTTGATACTTTGCAGATACCTAAATCACTAGAATTCATGGGGAACCGGAAGTAATCTTGAATAGTAGTGAAACGGTGACCAACTAGAGTGACATCATGTGGAGTGTGCACAATATTTACAAGAGTAGCAATATCTCCGTCCTCTGCCCTGAAAAAGCTATCTGCCTCTCTTTGAGACGACAGAAGAAAGTTCTTTGTTTTCAAGCAAGAGTATTGATCACCATTTTCATTCCAGTCATTATGTGGTTCAGAAAATTCAATGTCAGTTTCACCCAAGTAAGTATGGCGTGTTTTAATCAACCGTCCAGCATGCTCATAGTCTCTGTTGTAGAGTTGTTGAAGAGGTAAATATGAGGACCGAAGATAACGAAGTATAACTCCCAGGTAGCTCTCATACTTGTATCAGAGGTCGGCATCGGCTCCCAAACCCAGCTCGTTTCCGTCCCGCTCGCTCTGTCACCCGTCCCGTCCCGTCCCGTCTGCTCTCGGTCCGGCTCGCTCACTCCCACTCGCCGAGACTCGCTCGTGTCAACGGGTCCCGTCTGCTGGCCAGGCGTGGCGTGGCGTGGCGCTGGACCGACT